AAAGTTGAACTTTTAAAAAACGATGTCATTAACCATTCATAATGAGACTTCTATTCGCCGGAAAAATTATTGCGTACTTCTAGACATCGTTCTTGAAAAGTTTTTAAAAAAACACAAAATTGAAATGAGCAATGCTCATCTGGTGCGCAAAAACCACTATACAAAAACGCAGAAAAGTTCTGAAACGTCGGGTTCTGAACTGTCCGGTTCTGATACGTCGTGGTTCCGAAACGTCGGGTTCTGAAACGTCCAGGAGCCACCATCATCCCTCAGAGTGAATCTTAGAGGAAATGTGTCCCAACAATCATCAAAAATACTTGCATCGGATCTAAAAATGGGCTTCAAATATGTGAGCATAGGAGAAAAATAGATATTATGAGTCACAACTAATCAAAAAATTATCCAATCTGTCTCAAATCTCTAGGGAACGTGTGTCGTGAGTTGCCTAACAAGTTGAGCGCACTATTTTCAAAACTCACAATCGGAACAAATATTTTCAACTATTGGAATAGCCTCTATTGCTAAAGAGAAATAGTTTGAATAAAAAATGTGGTCTTGAGTTGCCAATTTTTGTAATTACTTTTTTAAGGAACTTATTAAACACATTTACTGTAGTTCTGAGCCTGATAGAAGCATTTTCAGGTGAGTTACGTATCGATTTTACCAAAAAAATGACGCAAAACTTTTGTTGCCGAAAATTGCCGTAAGTTGCCGAAATTGCCGAAATTTTTTTCCGGCAATTGCCGAGTTGCCGAACGTTGCCGAAAAATATTCGGCAAATTGTCGAGTTGCCGAATTGCTGAAAAAATTTTGTTACCGCACAGGCCTGAGCTAAACGCACCATGGCGCCCTCCAGTTCTGCGCCACTTTCTCCCCCTTCTTATACTGGTTGCCGCCGTCCACGCGCTTTGCCCGTCTGGCTTAGTGGATACCAGAGTTGACTATCGATCTAAAGGCCAAAAGTTCGATTCTTTTTGCTTCTAATCTCTTTTTAAACTTTTACAGAGCCCACCTAGCTAGTTTAAACTCTCCTAAACCATTTCTAAACCTATTCCCCCACTAAAACATCCTTAGAAATCCGCGCCAATCTGTCGAGAAGTGCAACTATTTGTGCCGTGCCTTTTCACCTTCAACCGTAACTGTATGATTGACAAAATTTGTGTGCACGAGGCGCCGGTGACCACTCAAACGCCGCCCGTTTCAATTTCGACGCCGAACCCGAAACGCGAAGAGAAGAGCTACGCGGCGCTAAGCTTGATTGGGCCATCTAGGAGAAATGTAAGGGGAATTGAAGTTCCTAAAGTTGATAATGATCTTTTTCAGGACTTTCTTCGCTTCGGAAGAGCGTCAGGAGCCGAGAGAGTTGGTGAACCTCAGGATGAGATAAAATATGGATCGTATGGTGGAGATGCTGATATTTTGTATTAATCAGTTGGGGTCTATGATCATGGACCATGACTTTTTCTGCTTTACCAACTGACAATTGTTTGCTGTGTGTGTATTTTTATATTTTTGGATTTTCTCATTTTTGGGACCTTTCAATAAACCTGTTGCATTCAAGTATTTTTTTTCTGGAAGTCTGGAAGTTCAAAAACCGAACATTTTCAATAAAAAATCTCAATTTATTAAGTTCTGAATCATCAAAAAGATTGATGGAAACGTTCAATTGGAAAGAAAGGGTTTTAGTAGTAAAACTTGAATGAGTGATTGTTTGTTTTTAACCGTAACATCAGAGGGTGAAGGGATTATAATACGTTTTTGGTACCAATTGGGTACGGTTTCAGGGGGGTTTATACAGAATAAATCAATAAGAAGTTTCCCGGCAACTAGAACAGCGAACGTGTCAGTTGGAAGACCTTCTGCTGAATGATGTCGGTTCTTGGGGACGACCATCTTTCGATTGGCTCGAATTCACGACGTCTTTTGACCAGTTGGAGGAACGCATTCAACGATCCATCCACGTTTGGATAGTGTGTACGGCAAGAGAAGAGACTGTAAAACGAGAGGCTTGATAGGGGCAAAGCGGGGGGAGAGGAGGTGTGTGCCTTGATAGCTCAGTTGGGAGAGCGTTAGACTGAAGATCTAAAGGTCACCAGTTCGATCCTGGTTCAGGGCAGTTTCTTTTTTTTCTTTTTGCTGTTTTTGCATTAGCTTTAGAGGGTCTTTATCGCCTAGAATCTACCTAGCTAACCTATTTCAATAGTTTAAAACTCACCAAATGCCATCATAGGACAATCCTTGGTGCAAAATCTCATGAACAACTTCAAACTCAGCTTCGGAGCGGTTGAGAAGATCCGGTGCCAAAATGATATCGTACTTCTTTCCACCCAAAAAGTTTCTGAGCTCTTCCATTGTTCCACAAGTGAGCTTGGTCTTATTTTTAGGGATATTGTTTCTCTTGAGCGTTGGTTTACAGTACAGCTCCAAACTTGTTTTATCGATAGTGTGCATCGCAATCTCATCAGCTCCATTTTCAAAGGCGTAAACTGATGGGAGTCCGGTAACGAATCCGATTTCCAGAACAGATTTTCCATCGAAGAAATCGGTTTCCATTTCGACGTTCATTATATTGTCAATGGTATGGCAAATGGTGTTGACGCCTTCCCAATCATCATGGTGATCTGAAAACAAGTAGCTTTTTTTTAATTGCATTGAAAAAACGAATTCTCAACCTTATATTAAATTTTTGTTTTTCTAAATTCTCTCAAAATTTCTTTTCGAGACGCCCCGCTCCCTCTCTCGGCCTCCACCACTCACTCCTTTTTTTATGCCTATCACCCTTCTATTCCCCCGTCGCCTCAATAGCTCAGTTGGGAGAGCGTTAGACTGAAGATCTAAAGGTCACCAGTTCGATCCTGGTTTGGGGCAATCTTGTTTTGCCTTTTTGTTAAGGCATGTTTTAGGGTTTAGGGGTCCTAGAAGGCAATTTTTCTTCATTTTAGGGCTCTAGAACCTCATTTTATTCATTTTCCTAATTTTCCAGGGTCCTTGAAGCCCGTCTTATTTCTTATTCCTTACCTTGATGACTATTCTTCCTCAGTGTATAATGCAACTCCTCGGCCACATGAGTCTTCGGATTCGAATTTCTGGTTGCCACGTACTTGATACATCTTCCGGAGTCCAAACTGAGCTCGCAGTTGATTGGAGCGACGGATGGGATTGTTGGGATGACAAGGACCATTTTTAAAGCGGGAAATCTGAAAGTAGCAAAGTTGACAGTACTGGCAAGAGGTTCTTTTTAGTAATCGGGAGAGAAAAAGGAGACACATAGTAAACAGTCGTTAAAAAAAGATAAGATAGGCGGGGGCTATTGCAAAAACAGACCCCTCCGTCCATTTCTTGATCTAATGACGTATTCGGGTTGAAAATGAGTTCAAAATTTTGGGAACTGAAAAAGAAGGAGACAGGAGCAAACTCTAAAAGTGTGTATGGCTTTTAAAGAACAGGGGGCGGAGCTTGGAAAAGTCACGAGGGGCTTGTTTGCCAATGGAAGCTGTAAACAAGAGGAGGAATGTACCCATAGGGATTAAAGAACGAGCAAATTTAAAGGCGCATAGCGCTCTGCATGAAGCTAGGAGAGGTACAGTAGGCCCCTAGTCCCTAGGAGCCAATAAGGAATGACGAAAATGCAAGAAGGGCCCGTCGCTTTAATACTAGACCCCTCTAGGACTCCGCCCACTGTCTTCTCTCGGTCTTCGCTAGATTCCCAGGCCCTCCGGAAACGAATATAAGAGACGTTGGACGACAAAAGGGATAGATGATGTGATCAGAGGGAGAGATAGATCAAATCTATTTTTCTAGTTGATCTTCAAAGAACACAGAGCTATGAGAATCTGTTTTTTAGGTTTTTGAGATGGTTGCCTGCGGGGTTGGTCAGTGGTTGAAGACGAAGAAAAATAGAAAGAAAGAAAAGAAGAAGAAAAAAGAGAACAGCTGATCTTTCTTTGGTTCGGGAGAGGGACTAAGATCAATGACGTCGGAATGGAAAGAGTGGGAGGTGATGAAATTGATGTCAAAAGGGATATACTAGTAATAAGGTTGGAGGGGTAAACACAAAATAGTACGATTAAGTTTTTGTTAGCTGTACAGAAGATTAATGGGAGAGCTTTGGCCCAAAGCCTCTGAGTTCAGAGATCTGGAAAAAACATAACAGAGAGCAACACAAAAATAGCGTTCAAGGAGCTGTACAGCGACTGATCTTGAGTTTACTATAACGATATGTATACCAACTTGTAGCAAATTTTATGCTGATTATTTTTTTAGTTAAACGTTTTTTGATAGTTTTTTGATAGGTGCTGGTTTTCGATTTGCGCGCTGAAATCCAAAAGCAACTTCAACAAGTATCACGTCCTTCGACGCACGTCCAATTAGACTAAGCTCGGCGATTTTAGCTGAATCTAAAGCGAGTCATATATCACTTTGAAGCAAATTTCATGGAAATAAGTTTTATAGTTAAAAATGTTTTGATAGCTCTGCTGGATTTCGAGCTAAGCGGTGACATCGAAAGACAACTTCGACATGTCGCCAACTTTTGGCAACGCCTGTTCAGCAAGCGAAAGCTCAGTCATTTTAGGTCGTCTTCACACAGTCAATTTGTAGCAATTTTTATGCTGATTATTTTTCTAGTTAACCAAATTTTGATAGCTTTGCTGGTTTTTCAGCTACGCGCTGAAATCAAAACTTCAATTCAACAAGTCTCACTATCGGCGACGCATGTTCAACAAGTCGAAGCTCAGCTATTTGAGCTCAATCTTAAAAATTTTATACACCAACTTGAAGAAAATTTTATGCTGATCATTTTTACAGTTGACCATTTTTTGATCGCTCTGCTGGATTTTGAGATATGTGCATTTTTCTGATGCTAGCTTCTCCAAAATGTCGAACACCAACAATTTTGACCATCGAACATGTTGATCTCAACAAAGACTGTTGATATTTCTCCTTCCGTTTTGTGATTCATAAAACTTTTTCGAAACAACATCACTTGACCCAGACTCCTCGATGAATCTGAACCTGGCCAAGTTGCCATTTGCCCTTCACGTGAAGTTTCAGCGTTTGCCCAATCACTATCACTATCACTTTGTTAGTCACTCCTAAAAATATCTTTCTTGTGTATTTGGCAACATCACCGATCACACGTGAAGAAGACAGAGGGGGTTTCCGACTGGAACCGAAAACAAAAGGAAAAAAGAAAGAAAGAAAAACAGTTCTTCAAAGATCAAACACATGTTCAGGGTAGCAGATGTTTCCCAAAGGAGGTCTTCACATTTGACAGAATATCTCAAAAACTAATAGAGCTGTTGGAAAGTGGTTAACTACACAAATGATCGGCTTAAAATTTGCTATAAACTGGTATAAAAACTGTAGAATGTTGCTTTGAGACTTTTTTATCCCGCGGGAAGCATGTTGAAGCACCCTTCCGACTTTAACTTATATTTCAAAAACTAATAGAGCTATCGAAAAATGATCAACTGCAAAAAAGATTAACTTCAACTTTGCTATCATTTAATATTAATTTTGTCCAGAACTGGCTAAGCATCCGTTAGATTAAGACGCCTGTCCACCGCATTCTCTCTAAAGGAAGGCCACAATGCACATAGACGTTGAGCCCAATTATCTCGGTTCCTATAAAAGCTATCAAAAATTTGTCGACTGATTAAATATTGATGATGTTATGAATAACATTTTATCAGTTGGCTACTTCTGGATATCTCCTATGAGAACCGAGATAATTGAGCTCAAAGTCGGGGTATAGGGAGAGCTTCTATTTGCCATCTATTTCAATAACCAAAAGGGCTATCTAAAAATGATCAACTGCAAAAATAATAAGTTTATAGTTTGCTGTAAATTCGTATACATCTTGGCTAGAATAAAGATTTTTCTAGAGATAGCATCTTCTAAGCTATTCGCCGAACACTATCATTATGCAAATGATATCATCTATTGTCTGTCTGTGTAACTGTTTGTCCTGCAAACCCGTTTAATTGTTGTCTTATCGCTAGCTTATAACAAACTACCAAGAGCGAATTTTCCAAAAATCCAAAAAGTTCAAATTCCCTAAGACACCTGACTTAATTTATTAGGCCATAATCCTTTTTTGATAAGATTACTTGAAGAGAAGAGAAAGTTCTCGAAAAAAAAATGCAATCCCATTGAACTCTTTTCATGTGATTTTCACACATTTTTCTAACTGAAACTTAAGGACCAATAATTACAACCAATTAACGTCATATTTTTTTTGTTATTACTATGTCTATCAGAATGTTTGCATATCAGGTTGTGTTGGTTCTTGATCTACTGCGGTGGGGAGAACTTTTTGTTTTGACCATTTTCAATGTTACTTTTTATTATAAGACGATAGACCTGATATAGTTGATAGAATCTCAAAATTTGAATTTTTGCAATTTTCAAAGTTTCCCAAATTTGTGGACATCTCAACAGACCGGCAAACAGACAAATGGATTCAGGAGAAAACTTCCAATATTCTAAAAATCAGAAAAATCTCAAAATTCTGTAGTTCTGAATTTTTCTGTCAATTTGCACGTCCTTCAAAATCAATCGAACAACTTCTTGATTTTTGTGTTCCTCTTATCAAATCTTATCACCTTAACTTTTTTTTGTGTTCTTATCATTTGCAGTAATTGGGTGCAAGTGTTCCCCTGCCACGTCATCAAACATCAGATGAACCCAGATATTTAGTTAATTACGTCATTAATTATCTAAGCAATTAGTGGAAACAGTTTCCTGATAACCATGGCTAGCCTGGTGTTGTAAAATTTTGAATTTTCTCGGAAAATTTAAAGGTTCTAGGAAATCTAAAAAATTTCAAACTTTTTTCAAATCTCAGAAATTCCGAAAAAATCAGATTTTTTCATAAACAAATTTTTTCTAGCCAAATTCATAACCCTCATTTTTCCAGACAAACCAAGACTTTCTCTAGGAAAAATGGGGTTGATCTGTGTGTCGGTTTGTCTAGATGTCTACAAAATTTGTAAATCCAAAGAGCATTCTAATTTAGATTGTTTTTTTTGTGATAATCGGAGTTTTAAATTTGGAAAATTGGAAACTTCAAAAACTGGAAAATTTCAAAAATTCAAAAAGCTAAATATTGCAATTTCAGATATGATTCATCCAAATTTCGTAAAATCCCAAAACTTCGAAAATCTAGGAAAACAAGTTTACCTTCTGGAAACCTTGAAAACTTCCAACTTTTAAATCTGAAAAACTCCAAACCTAAAAGTCTAAAACTCTAAAATACAAAAGTACCGTGAATGCTCAATGGAAGCTCACCATTTGCGTGCATATCGAGCTCAATTATCTCGGCTCCTACAAGAAATATCAAAAATCTGTCCACTGATAAAATATTGATCATATTCTGATAATCACTTTATTAGTTTACAGTTTCTCTATATTTTGCATAGGAATCGAGATAATTGAGCTCAAAGTGCGTTCTTCAAAGTTCGAAGTTCAGAATTTTTCCTATTTCCTTGGGACGCTTTAAAACTATACTATAGTGAATCTATTCCAAACGTTCAAAACTCTTTTTTGGGTCTTTTGTGGGTCATTTCGAATCATTTGGAACCTATTTTGAACTAATTTCCACCTATTCAAAATTTTTCTAATAATCCAAGAATTTCAGAAAGATGTTTCCTAATATAGAACTTTTCAAGTAAATTCTTAGAAACCTCCAAATATGACATTGCCCAGATTTTGTTAAATCCCGAAATTTCAAAAATCTTGGGAACACAAAACTTTGAATCTGAAACATTTTTCTATTCTGCAAATCCAGACCTCAAAAAACCCAAAATCTAGAAACCTGAAATTCCAAAAACCATAATCAACACACCTTCTAGAAAGAGAACAAAAGTGCAATAAACAATTTTGCAGAAACTTCTTCTCTGCAAAATAGAACCCTTGTCAACATCAGGTGCTAAAACTACAGTAACCCATTTTTTGTTATTCTCTAGTTGTGTTGACCCGGAACGATGTCCGAAGAGACCACTTTTGAAAGTCATATGATCTAAAAATAGCGTACTCGTTTTGTCCTTTTTCTTATTTTTCTCATGTACGCAATGGGCGGTCGATCATCTAATTCCCCATATCAATTCCACGTGTCAAGTTAGAGAACGAGAGACCGCAGAGAAACGACGACTTTTGATGATCATGTTTTTCGCACTAGAGGAGAGAGAGCACTGAAAAATGAGAGAGTGCACAGAGAAAAGCGACTTTTCTTGTTTACCACTTTTTCGCTCGCTTTCTTTCTGCGCTGCAAATTTGTTCTTCGAGAACATTCTGTTGATTGTAGAGAGTAAGAGACGCAGAGATGCCGGGTTTTGAAAATCATCTCTCTTTTTCTGTTTGTGTCGTTTTGGGGGGATACTGGAGGGGCTCAATGAGCAAGTACGTAAATTGGAGATTAAGGTTTTTGAGAATGTTTTTTCAGGTGTTTGAGAACTGAAGGAGCAAATAGGGGATTTCTGGAAGATGTTTTTTTTAGGTTTTCAGAATTTCAGAATTTCAAACTATACGATTTAGGGTCCAGAAGATCTAAGACTTTAAGATTTTCAGAAGGTTAACAAGTTCTAAATTCAAAGTTTTGAATTTCCAAGATTTTCGAAATTTTAGGATTTACGAAATTTTGGAAATCTGGCATATTTTGAGAATCTGGACTTCTGAAGGAATTCTGAAATTTTCAAGTATTCTAAGAAAACCTCAAAAATGTTTTTTGAAAATTCTGATTACTTCCAGATGGTTCTGAACTTCAGGAATAACTGAAAATTGGAGTTCTTAGGTTTTCAGATTTTCAAAATTTTGGATTGTTAGGGTCTCGAAGTCATTGAAAGACTCCAAGATTTCCAAAAAGTGGAGACATTTGGAATTTTAAGAAATTCTGGAAATCTGGTGGATTCTGTGAATCTGAACTTCTGAAAATTTTTTTTACAAAGTTTTCAAGTATTCCAGGAGATTCGTTAAAAAATATTTTCAATTCTGATTACTTTCAGAAGATTCCGAATGGTTGGAATTCCAATAATTAGCATTTTGAAATTCTGAAAATTTCCAGTTTATGAATTTTTCGAATTTTCAGTATCCGATAGACGAAATTAGGACTTAAGAACCTTTGAGATTTGAGTGTTCTTTGGATTTTCAAATTCAAAAAAGACAAAACGAGTACGCTATTTTTAGACCCCATGACTTTCAAAAGTGGCCTCTTCGGACATCGTTCCGAGTCAACACAACTAGAGTAAAACAAAAAATGGGTTACGGTAGTTTTGGCACCTGATGTTGACTAGGGTTCTATTTTGCAGAAAAGAAAGGAGTTTCTGCGAAATTGTTGATTTCTAGAATGCTGTTGTATGGTTTTTGGAATTTCAGATTTTTAGATTCTGAAGTTTGAAGTCTTGAAGGTTTTCAGAATGAGAAAATGTTTATGAATCCAAGATTTTTGAAATTTTGGGACCTTGAGGATTCTGAGAATTTAAACTTCTAGAAAAGTTAAATTTTGCAGGGTTGCAATCTGACGGGCTGGCCGGCGGGCCGGCCCGAGGGAAAAAAACCAGGGCCCTGCCCGGCCCGGCCGGCCGGCAATTAATTAATATTTGAACGCGCGCCATTTTTATTTGCAATTTTATTTTTATTTTTTATTTGATCTTGTCACAAAGTTAATGCCATCAGCTATTCCCTCCACTACTCAACCCACCTCATCGCAGAAGTCAAATCTAATTGCAAAGTTATATCATGCGGTCAGTGACCAAGCGAACTCAACATCTACTTCTTCGGAAATCTCAAGATATCTCTCCGAGTACTACGATCCTTCAACAAACGAATCGATCCTTCAACAAACGAATAAAAGAAAAAGATTCGAATACCCTGGACTGTACTCAGCAGCACTTTTCGTTTTTTCGATTGTTCCCAGTGAAGCCATGTGTGAGACTACGTTCAGCACTGCGTCGTTTTTGTTAGATAAAACAAGAACAAGATTACTGTAAAAGCGTGTGGAGATGGTCGTTCTGGGTTCGCAAATAGCCACGAAATTTCCACACTGGCTCGACTGATTCTCTCACTAATTGTAGTGATTTTTCTAGTTAATTTTATGTTACTTTTCTATCTTTTTTGTCGGATTGGTTGATATGAGCTTTAATTTTCTCCCCCGGTTTCCATTTCTTTGTTTCCCCTTGTTCATTTATACGGTTTTTACATTGTTATGCTACTTGTTAAGAAATAAATTCAAATAATTCTTCAATAATTTCTGTTTTTTCTTAAATTCGAACGGGCCGAACCGGCCGAACCGGCCGGGCCGGGCCGGAGAAAAAATCATCTCGGCCCGGCCCGGCCCGGCCGGTTGCAACCCTGAAATTTTGGGATTTTTCAGATTTAAAATGTTGGCAGAATTTAGAAGAATCGGAGAATTTCTAATATCGAAGAATTGTAAACTTTTGGAAGAAATTTCACAAAATTTTGAAGAAAATATGAAAAACGCAGAATCATTGGATTTTTAAATTTCGCAGACATCTTGACAAACAAAAAAAAATTAAAATTATGGAATTTTGCCATTTTCAGATTTTCTAGAACCTTCACATTTTCGAAGAAGTCATAATTTTCAATTTTTCTGGATTTTCGGATGATTTAGAACTTCCGGAATTTTCTGAAAATTTTTGATTTTGGAATTTCTAAAAATTCCTGAAAACTGGGATTTTTAAATTTTTCTAAGCATCTCAAAAATATATTATTTACGGACATCTGGACAAACCAACAAACAGACAAATGGGCGCTTAACTTTATGACTCTGAAAAAGCTTTCCGATGTTCTGTGCAAATCTGAAAAAAATCTGAAATTTCTGAAAATTCTGAAAATCCTAACATTTTATTGTATTTTTTGATTTTCACTGTTTTTTTTTGTTAAAACGGAAACACACACAAAAAAAGATTCCTGGCCATCTGCCAGGTAAATAAAAGAGAGTTCTCTCTCTTTTTTGTTGGTTTTTGGTGTTTTGGAGAAGTCGAAAATTGTAACAAAAAAAGTACCGGTTTATTTTTGGAACAATATAAAACAATGGAAAAAAGATAACCCTGAAAAACAAAGGAAACGCGCTCTATTGATATTTTTACGGAAAAATGCAGAGCTCCCCGAACCGTCAACTTTGAGCGCTTATATCTCGGTTGCGGTAAGATATATCAAAAAGTGGTCATCATAAAACTTTACACATTTTATTAGTTGATCACTTTTTATAACCTTCTACAGGAAGCGAGATAAATTGGCTCAAAGTAAAAGCCCTAAATTTTCAGCACAATATAATTTCTATTAGGATTATAGACAATTTTAAACGGGGATATCCGAGAATTATCTTTTGAATTTGCCGCCAAAATCCACAAATCACATAATGAAGTTCTGGCAGAATTCTTGGGATCCTCCTCATCCCACATCCCACGATACACACATTCGGGCCTGGAATTATTTTTTTTGAAATTCTCTGAAATTTCAGAATTTCAGATATTTTCAAAAAAAAATCTCACCTCCTTTCATCGTTTGAACAATTCATTAATTGGAATATAAAATAATTGACACCCATTTTTTTCATCGTTTGGTGAACTTCAGCAACTGGTTTCTTACTGAACATTGAGTACACTTTCAATGTTCGATCTCTGAAACATTAAAAGTCGATTATTGATTATCTAGAAAAAATTTTGACCTACCGTATTCCAACATGCTCATAATGTGGATGATTGACAATTGGCCTCAGTGTCGTCAGCTTCACATTCGCCATCACTGGCATCGTTCCAGCAAACACCGCATCTGGAAGAAATTGGATTTTTGCACAATTTGATTATCTTTTCAAAACTAATTTATTTTGGTTCCTGTGAACGATATCAAAAAGTGGTCAACTGACAAAATGTTTATCATAATATGAGCAACATTTTATCAGTAGACAGATTTTTGATATTTCTTGTAGGAGCCGAGATAATTGAGCTTAGAGCAACCGCTCAAGCTTCTCTGCGCCCTTCGGCCCGCCGGCTTGAGCGGCGACCACAAGCAACTGCCAACTTTGACCGTATTTATCTAGTTTCTGTAGAAGACATCAAAAAGTAGTTAACTACTAAATTGTTCATCATAAAATGTCACACATTTTTTTAGTTGACAACTTTTCGATATCTTTCACCAGAATCGAGTCGACTATATGGGATCAAAGTTGGCTGCTTGTTGCGTTCTGTTAGAGTGCGTACGGGACCTTGTTTCGTGTTGCTCTGAATCCAATCGAATAGCATTTCCTGGTCCGGATTACTGTACTCTCCTTTGATATTCAATTGGTGACGGATGTTGGGGATTCCTGGAAATTCAAAAAAGGTTGAAAAGCCTAAAAAAGAAAGCCTAATTGGCCTGGAAAAGCCCAAAACGGTGTAGAATGCAGAATTCTATCAATATTCCATCGAAATAGATATGAAAAGGTCGGAAAAATTTATGAGCAACTCAAAAATAACATTGGGTTTTGGAAATGATTTTAATCTCTTACCTCTGAAAGCCAACATGGCAACCAGCCCAACTAAAACCGAAGATCGTACGGTTTTCGCAATCTTATCGCCTCCCAACAGTTTGGAGTTTGCCAGAAGAGCTACAGTAATACACAAATGAGGTGTCATGAAAAGTTTGAGACGCATGATCAGGACAGCCATTGTAGTGGAACAAATCAATTGAACCAAATTGTAGATGACCTGAAAAAAATTGATTGTGCTCATCAATCTTCTTAAGATCATTTTTATAGGATTTAGTGACGTTAACTTTGTTTCTCATAAAATTCCCGTTGTTTTGATACCCATATTGTAATGGATTTCCAAATTTCGAAATTCTGAATTCAGAATACGTCCGATTTCAATAATTTTGAAACTGTGGCCATATGGGTATCGTAACAACGGAAATTTCATGAAAACAAAGATTGATGTCAAAAATTAAGTTATTTTCTGAAAAATTTGTGATTCTGGATTCAGAAGACGCCAAATTCCAATCTTCACGAATCCCTAGCAAAATCAGCATCAAAATGTCAGAAATTTTACAAAAAACTCAAATTTTTACCTCTCCATACTCCGAATCCTCATTTTCCAAAGTTCTCCATAATAAACTCGTCTTGCTCAAAAAGTCCCAAGAGAATGCTCCAATTGAGAGAAGAGCCAATGGAATCAGAAGAGTCGAGCTTAATTTTTCAATTGTGGCATACTGTATAAAATCAAATTCCGCTGAGCAAGTGTACAATCTTGTGTGGAAATTGGCAAAACTCGTGAATTTCGAGCGCAAAATGTCGAAGATGTGAGCCTGAAAGATTTGCAGTTTAGAATCTTTGTAGATGTAGTTTGTAGTCTATGTATAGTCTTTGTTTTTCACTGAATTCCAACATTCAAGCTACTGGTAGTTGGAATGGGTCACTATAGTTTGTAGTATTTGTAGTTCGTAGTATTTGTAGTTCGTAGTATTTGTAGTTCGTAGTCTTTGTAGTTTGTAGTCTTTGTAGTTTGTAGTCTTTGTAGTTTGTAGTATTTGTAGTTTGTAATTTGTAGTTTGTAGTTTATTGTCTTTGTAAGTTTGAGTTTTCAGTTGGTATTTAGTAGTTACTAGGTGGTCTGTGGTCTTTGTAGTTTGCAGTCTTTGTAGTTTGTAATTGTTATCGTTTGTAGTCTTTCTAGTCACTCACATCATCCTCAATCCCCAATCCCTTTGAAAATCCAACTTTGAGTCCAAGAGTGATCGATCCAAAAATCAGTGCCAAAATTAGGAGGTAAAGTGGGCGGAGCCTAATTCCAGCCAACATTGGGGAGATGTAGATTACAGTCTAAAAGTGGTAATATTAATTTTCAGAAATTAAAAAAAAACTTTTCAACTTACCGCCAACGCCCAAATGCTGGGAAAATACAAGGCGGCGATCATCATCTCGTTTCCGAAGAGCATCACAAAACTGATAAAAAATGCACTCAGATGAGATTTGATTATAGTTTTTGCAGTGTCCAGCGGGACCAAATCCATTGAAAAAGCCGCGAAAATCGAGCAAATTTGAGTGAAAAATGCGAATTGGGTGAACTGCCAGAATAGGAGAGCTGGAACGGCAGCGGAGATAAGAAGAAGAAGGTGGGCGGTGCTGGATTTTCTATATCTGCAAAAAAAAAATTAAAATTTTGATGAATTTTGAGCTATAATTGATAAAATGAGCGGTTAGAAAATTTTCAAATTGGCCTAGAAGATTTCTGATAAGATTTTGTTGTAAATGACAACGTTAACCGTTTTCATCTCAAAATTTCCAACATTTTGACAGTAATTTCGACCCCAATCGGCGAAGTTTGATTTTCGACGTCTTCCGAATTCAGAATCTCAAATAATTTTGAACTAAAGCAATATGGGTATCAAAACAACGGAAATTGAGCGACAAACAAGTTTAACGTCATCAATTTTCAGGAAGTCTTCTCTAGAAAAATTTCTGGCGTCTACAAAATTCAGAAAACCGACTTACTTAATGATATAGGTCAAAATCGCAATGTGACCTATAATAAACGGGAATGCGAAACTTTCTCGTAATGGCGGAGTCCATTGTACACGTGTCGCTTCTCCATGGTTGAATGCGAAACACAAAACAGAGAGGATTCCTCCGAAAATTGAATCGCTGAAAATTTTTGATTTTAGATTTTTGAAATCCCCTTCGACTTTTCAAGAAAATGGGAAGTTAACCATGTTTCCCACAAAGTTTCCAACGTTTTGATACCAATTTCGATTGAATTCGGGAAGTTTTAGTTTTCGACGTCTTCTGAATTCAGAATTCATAACATTTCGAAGCTGTGGCAATATGGGTATCAAAACAACCGGAATTTTATAAGGAACAACTTTGACGTCATCAAAACTACCAGAAATGAAATATTCAGAATCATACCTCACCAAAACACCCAAATAGAAAAGTGACGTGGCAACTGTACCAGCCACTACAAAAACTCCAGTGATATAGAAGTAATGTGGGTTCCCGATGCCTTCACAACTCTCCACAGGTCTCAAGTCTCCGCGATTCACTTGCCAGCACGTCTCCACTTGCCAGTTGGCAGATTTGGCCAATGCACGGAATGGGCGGTACAGAAATGCCAGGATAACCTGAAAGTTCGAGGTTTTTATGAAATTCAGTCGCGTTTAAACTGTTTTTCATGCAATTTCCTACATTTTGATATCAATTTCGACTGAAATCGAGAACGTTTTAAATTCGACGTCTTCTAAATTCAGAATTCTGGAATTCTGAACTTTTCAACATGGGAAAAGGGCGACATGGGTATCAAAACGACGGAAATTTGATGGGGAACCTAATTAAGAGTTGGAAATTTGTAGAAAACTGAAAATCAAAATTTGAACTTTTGGAATTCTGAATTCAGAAGACGTCAAATTTGAAAATATACCGAATCCTATCAAAATTGGTATTAAAATGTCAGAAATTTTACGAGAAACACTGTGAACGTACTAATTTTTGCTGTGTTTGCTTCAGAATGAAGTTAAATGCTCCAGAATAATTTTTTAGAAAATTTCAACATCATTTTTTCAGAAGACGTCAAACAATAAAAATTTCTACGTTAGAATGAATTCTCTACGTTAAAATGAATTCTCATAACATTTCTGTCATTTTGATACCCATATTGCCCTAGTTTCAACATTTTTGGAATTCTGATTCAGAAGACGTCAAAAACCAAAATTCACCAAATCCTATCGAAATTAGTATCAAATTGTTTTTTATTTTAAAACATATTAAAAACACGATTAACACATTTATTTTCCCCACTTTTGAGTCCCCTTACCTCTGGATACAAATTAAACCGATTCAACGTATTGATCTGATGTCCGTGCTCAGTTACAGTATCCCTCGTTATCAATTGCACACCTTCCAAAAACGAAGGAGCTGTGATGATGGTTTTATAATAGGAATAGTAGAGACCCTGAAAGTTAAGGATTACTGTAGTTTTAGGTGTACTACTGTACTGTACCATTTCCGTCCTATAGGCCATTTCTCTTTCGAAATCCGCCAAATGCGAAAAATGCTTGTCATTTTCGAATAGTGTGTAGATGTGCTGATAGTTGAGAAAGCCAACGAAGAGTCCTGAAATTGATGGAATTTTTCAGAATCGATTTTTTCAAATTTTCGAGAAAAAATTTAAGCTAGCTAGATTATCAAAAGTTAACGGTGTAGACGGTGTCAACGGTGTCAACGGTGTAGCTCAGAAAAGCCCTTAACTTTGACCCAATTTATCTCGCTTCCTGAACGAGATATCAAAAAATAGTCAACTAACAAAATGTTCTTTATAATATGATAAACATTTTGTTAATTGACCATGTTTTGATATCTCTCATAGGAACCAAGATATATAAGCCTAAATTTAACGGTTGTTTGTGGTCACCGTTTAAGCCGCCGCGCAGAGAAGCTTGAGCGGCGGCTCTATTTGGCTGTGCCTTTTGAGCTCACTCATCTCGGCTCCAGTAAAATATATCAAAAAATGGTCAACTGATAAAACATTTTTGATATCACGATGCTTTTGACAGTTAACAACTTTTTGATATCTGTTACAGAAATTGAGATATATAGGCTCTAAGTTAACGATTCGGTAAACATTCTTAGAGTGTGCACTGTAATTGAACCAAAACCTTTTGCATGTGTGTCTGTGCATCCAGATGTCCCCTACTTCCTCATTTCTCCCTCTTTTTTTCTCCCTCAATTCGCCCCAAAAACCAACACATCATCCAGTTCCTCTGTAATTATCGACTTTGAGAGAGGAGGACACACACACACGAAATGTCAAAAACCGCCTCTTTTTTGCCTCCCGATCTACAGAAAATAGTATATGAAGTGGTGGAGACGTCGCACGTCGTCTGAATCAGAATACACAAACCATCAGAAATGAAGAAGAAGAAGAAGAAGAATACAGGAAGTTTTGTTCTGTGTGTTGCATTATTCTTTGTTTCCAGAGACATTGGTTCTCCTACTTATTGTTTGCATTCTCGAGGAAATTAGGAAATTTTATGTAGGTCATGTACATAGTTCTCGAGAGGTTTGTAAAGAACTAAAATTTGAAGAACTTGAATCCAAAAAATTGGTAGAGTAAACTCCAAATTTAGCATTCTTAAAAGTTCAAGGCTTTTATCAGGAAATTTGAGCTACACGGTCGCACCTTCTAGTTTAACCCTATTTATCTCATTTCCTGTGAAAGATATCAAAACATGGTCAACTAACAAAATATTTATCTTATTATAAGAAACAACTCATTAGTTGACCACTTTTTGATATCTCTTACAGGAACCAAGATAAACTGGGTCGAAGTTAAGGGACCTTGTGAGCTATTGATACCGATTACTACATAGGGCAGTGTCAAATTTAACCCAATTTATCTTGCGTTCTATGAGAGTTATTGAAAATTGGTTGACTATCAAAATATTCATCTTATTATAAGAAACAATTTATTAGTTGACCACTTTTTGATAACTCTCACAAGCACAGAGATAAATAGGGTCACACTTGAAGGACGACCTGAACTACGCGGTTGCTATATGAGTGGTGCTCTTTTCTTCAATCTTTCTTCAGACTAAAAAAAACCAAAATCTAGCTGTATTTTGTTTTTAAAACTTTCAAATCGTCATGGTAAAGTGTCCTATAGATAGACTGCAACAATGGGGAATTTTTTCACCTTGGGAGAAAACCACTTTCGGGACTTTTTTCCAATGGTTTCGAGATTATAAGATACATTTTTAGAGTGAAAATCTCAAATGAAGTTCAAGCAATTCATAAGGTTGCAGAGCTGTCAAAACGTATGCTTCTCTCTCGGTAGTTTTTGTAAATCCTTCTTTTTTTTTTCTTCCCATTCAATAATCGAGGTCATCCGTTTCTCATTAAGTGCAACTACTCCTCCTTTTCTCTCTCTCTCTCCCTCTCTCTCTCTCTCTCTCTCTCTCTCCCTCTCTCTCTCTCTCTCTCTCTCTCTCTCTCTCTCTCTCTCTCTCTCTCTCTCTCTCTCTCTCTCTCTCTCTTTCTCTCTCTCTTTCTCTTTCTCTCACGAGTTTGCTCTTTATTGTGTGCTGCTCTCTCTCTCTCAGCTGTATTGGAACCAGTTTTTTTTGAATTATTTGAACACCCTCCAATTGCACAACTCAAAAAAGTTCTACTCAAATTTATTTGAACCCAATATTTTTGTATGACTTACTCGATTTTAAAATTGTCTCCCCTCAACTTTGATTTTGTTTATCTCGGCTCGTGTAAAAGATATCAAAATGTGATCAACTAAAAAAATGTCAACTTTTTTATATCTTCAACAGGGAGCGAGAAAAATCGGCTCAAAGATACAAGCTTGGGTGCTCTTCTATTAGAGGTTTTACGGTATTCTTCTAGACTTACACTTGATGTTGTACAAATTTCCTCTAGATTTCTTATGTATATTTCACTTTTACGTATTACATATATCCATCCCATCATCATCCTCGTCATTATCACATCATTATTATCGGTCATTACCCTATCTCCTTCTTCTTCCTGTTCCTATTTTTCTCTAACCACTCTCTCGTTTTCCCATACTCTCGAATCATTTGGCTTCTGATTAATAAGAAGTGAAAATGGAATACAATATGGACTTCAGAAATAGTCTAATATGGATTTATTGGAAATTTTCGAGAAGTTTCTTGAAATTTGGTTTTTTTTTGGTAATTTGGACATTTCCGATGATGTGATTTTTCAGGATTTTTCAAATAACCATTTTTATGAAAGTCTCTCTGTGATCCTGAACATTTGAAAATAGTTTTTTTTCAAATTTGGTTGATCAGTTTTTTATTGGATTTTTTTAAAAATTTGGAATCGATTTTTGAATTTTTTGTTTACGAAACATATACTAAATTTGAAATCTCGAAATTAAATTAAAATATTTACTTCTTAGAATTTTTTGTTTTCGCCAATTTCAGAATTTCGTATTTTGAGAATTCTCAGATTCTTAGAATTTCTAGATCAGAAAATCCTAAAAATGCTGAAATTCCTGAACTTCCTTGTTTTCAAATTCCCAAGAATCCTGATATTCCGAAAAGTTAAAAGCTCTTAAAATCCGGAAAAATCCCAGAATTTCAAAATTGCCTAATTACTCTCAAAATCTCAAAACTGATTGCTGAAAAACTTTGAAAATCCCAAAAATACCAGAATTTGAGAACATGTGACAAATTTTTTGAACTTTTCTTAATTGAAAAAAAATTGTGGTCATGTGCCAAAAAAAAATAATTGAGCACAATTTTTTTTTCCGGAGAAAAGAGCAAAAAATAAAATTGGACAAAAGAGAACAGGTGAAAAAGTTTTTTTTCTAAGATTCTGAATTCTTGGATTCTGAAATTTAGATACTGAATCTTCGGAATATGAGACTTAGACTCTGAAAATTAAATCTTGAATTTCGGATCCCAGGATTTTAGATTCTGAAATTCCAAGACTGTAAATTTTTTTGGATTCTAAAATTTTGGAATCCGAACTCATGGATTCTAGATTCCAGATTCCATAAATCTCAAAATCTTGTTTTTCCCCCTTTTTTATAAAATCTCAAACATCATATTTTCCATTGTTTCTTCTTCGTTTTTCCATGTTTCCCTGTTTCTCTAAATCTCTCCTTCTCTATTTTTTTTTTCATCTCCACTCAAGTTTCCGTCAATTTCCTTGACAACATCTAGATTTTTTCTCCTTTTTCTTCTTCTTCTTTTTTTGCCAATTTTACTACTAAAAGCTCGTTTTTTAGCCAAAAATCTCAAAATTTTCAGTCAAAAAATACCCATGAAAATCCGTCTAATTCTTTTTTTCCTTTTCCTTTTTATGATGAATTTGGGATCTACAAATAGTGAAGAAGAAGAAGAATTGAGTGGAGAGGGGCCAGAAGACATCGAAAGATTAAAAACGCAAGATGAAGTCTTGTTGATTATGGTAAATCCTTTAAAAATTTTTTCAAGTTGCTTTTAGGAAAAAATCATAGCGTTAACCTGCTTTTTCGTGCAATTTCCAACATTTTGGTACCAAATTCGACTAGAATGGTGAAGTTCGGAAATTGTCGTCTTCTGGATTCAGGATCCGCGAAATTCAGAATTTGAATATGGAACCATAGCAATATGGGTATCAAAATAACGAAAATTTTAAAGGAAACAAGTTGGACGTCGATTTCAGAATTTTTTGACATTCTGAATTCTGAAGACGTCCAATTTAAAATAAAATCCCAGAATTCCTTCAAATCTAGATTTCGCAAAATTTCATAACGTTAACTTTGTTTTTCATGCGATTTCCAACGTTTTAATACCAAATCTGACTAGAGTCGGTGAAGTTTGGGATTTGACGTCTTCTGAATTCAGTATCTCAATTTTTTGAAAACATAGTCAATATGGATAGCAAAATGACGGAAGTCATAAGAAACAAGGTTAACGTCCTGAATTTCTCGGAAGATAGGTTCTATAATCAGAAGACGTCAAAATTCGAAACTGTGGCAATATGGGTGTCAAATTAACGTAAATTTAATAAAAAAACAGAATCGACGTTGAATTTCAGTCGATTTCAAAATTTTCTTTTTTTTTTGAGATTCTGAATTCAGAAGACGACAAATTTTAGAATTCCTGAATTCCGTCTAATTTGATTTTCACGAAAATTCATAACGTTAACCTGATTTCACTTGAAATTTCCGTCGTTTCGATACCCATATTGCAAGGGTTCGAAATATTTTTGGATTCTGAATAATTCAGAAGACGTCAAAACTCCAACTTCATGGAATCCTATCGAAATTAGTATCAAAATAACGGAATGTTTGCAAGAAACAAGATTAACGTTATCATTTTCCTTCAAATGTTTTTTTCAGGACGACAACTCGACGCTTCTGAATTCCAATGGCACAATTTACGATCCAGACTCTTCGGAATTCAAGGGAAAATTGAATTTCAATTTACTAGAAACCTATTTACCCTTATTTATTTTTGTGCTAGATTTGCCTACAGAAGATCGAGAGGTTCTGAAAAATTATATGACCGAGAAGACTTATGAAAAATTGAAATTTGTGATTGATGCGAAAGTGAAACTGAATCAAGAGGAGAATGTATTGGGAAGAATCAATGAAACTTTGGTACAATCAATCGATAATTTGGAAAAGTTCGATGAAATTACGGTAGATGTCGTTAACGGGTATCATGTGAGTTAACTTTCTCCAAAATCACTTCTAGCAACAATATTGACGTTAAACTTATTTTTCATGCTATTTCCAACATTTTGATACTAAGTTTCTGAATCCAGAATCCAAAAACGTCTTCTGAATCCAGAATCCAAAAAATTTTCGAACCCTGTTAATATGGGTATCAAAACAACTGAAATTTAATGGAAATCATTTTTAACGTTACCAAATTTCGCGAAAACTAATTTAGGAATGTTTTTGAAGCTATGAATGGAGTCTGAAATTTTTCAGTTAAAATTTCGGAGTAAGATAACTTTTTTTAAAAAGCATTTTCAGCGAAAAAATTACTTTGTTAGCCTTGTTTCCCATGCATTTTTTAACATTTTGATACCAATCTTGCCTAGAATCGATAAAGTTTGAAATTTGACGTCTTCTGATTTCAGAATCTCTAAATGTTGTTGAAACCCTGGCAATATGGGTATCAAAACAACGGATCTCTCACAAAAAACATTTTTAACGTCACCAATTTTTATACAAATGGCTCTAAAATGAGATTTCTGTATTTTTTCAGAATGCGTCAGTCTACAACGCCATAAGATCCGTATGGCTCAAACAACTACGTCCATATTTGCCACTAATTGATCAATTAGCGATTCAACAGTACTTCACGCAAAGGTAATGTTCTCAGAATCAAGAAGACCTTAAAAATAGTGCAAAACATTCCAGAAAACTGTCGGAATCTGAAAAAATGTCAATTTGGGCGCGAATTTGGGAAAATCTGAACGTTTGGATGTATGGAAAGAAGAAGTTAATAGAATGCTATGCAATGGAACCAAAATGTGTCAGACATGCATTAGAATCCTTGAATTTCGAGCAACGAATTGATTTGGATTTGGCGGCTTACGAAAATAAATTTGACAACGTTGACGAGATTTTGAGAGAGAAGGTGAGATTTTCATGAAAATTAGTGACGTTAATCTTGTTTCTTGTAAAATTTCTGACATTTTGATACCAGTTTCAATTAGAATCGTTGAAGTTTGGAATTTGACGTCTTCTGAATTCAGAATCTCTAAATGTTTTTGAAACATAGTCACTATGGGTATCAAAATGACGCAAATTTTATGGGAAACAAAGTAAACATAACGAATTTAAAAAAAAAGTTTCTATACAGGATTCTGAAACTTGGGATTCTGAAATTTTTTATAAAAGGAAACCCTTCTGAAGGGTATAACTTTTCGGAAGTTTGCAAAATCGAGATTTCACCACGTCAACTTGGTTTTATGTAAAATTCCTGACATTTTGATACCAATTTCCACTAGAATCGGCGAAGTGTGGAATTTGACGTCTTCTGAACTCAGAATTTCAAATTTTTCGATACATAGTCGATATGGATATCAAAGTAACAGAAATTTTTATAGAAAGCAAGGTTAACGTGGCGAATTTTTTGAAAAATGGATTCTGTATTCAGAAGACGTCAAAATTTTTTAGCTCCGCCCTTTTTTCAGCTCTCCGAAAACCGAAAAAGTGCCGAATTAGATGATTGGCTACACAGAAATCGACCACCAAAAGCTCTACAAGCTATTCTAGACGAGAGAAGTGATATTGAAGAAGAGTAGGCTCCGCCCCTTTTTCCTAGGCCACGCCCACTTTTTCAGAGCTCTTCAAAGATTACGGGATAACGGAGTTCTGAGCTCTCTGAAGCACTACTACAAGGCAGTTATTGAATCACGGAGTCATGAAGAGCAGGAAGTGATTTTTTTAGTTTTTTAGAGTTTTTGATTTGGCGCGAAATTCAAAAATTCCAAAATTTCAGGAAATTCGCCACTTCTTCGAAACCATGAACGACACATTTGCCCGATGCTTTGACCCACTTCGTGGACAATATCACGATTTTTAGGCTCCGCCCCTTTTTCTCTTGCCCCGCCCACATTCTCAATTCAATTCACTCATGATCATTACGTGTACTTTTTTATTTGGTTAATGAAGATTTTCAGATTTTGCAAAAAATTCAGAAAACATAAAATTAAAAAACTCACCAATTAGGACTACTGTAGCCAGCCATAAATTCCCGGAAATTCCAGATTCCTGTGAGAAATTTCCAGAATGTCTTGGTCCATTTTTCTCCGAGTTTTTCGCTTTTTTGGCCATTTTTTTTTGGAGCTGAAATTTCAGATTTTTAGGCTGAAAATAAGCTGAAAATGAGCTAGAAGTTGAAGACAAAAATAGAGAAAATTTGGAAAAAAGAGGTAAAAAATTAAAATGTCGGCTATATTTTTACTGGATATTTCCAGATTTTTAGGCTGAAAATGGGCAGAAAATAGCTAAAAAGGGGGAAAATCAGGAAAAAATCTAGAAAATTCTGGAAAAAAACTGCTAAAATACGGAAAAAGGGAGAGTAAATCTCTCTTTGCCACTTGATTAATTTAGTTGTCGTTTTTCGTTTTTTCCCGCTGATTGCTCAGCGCCGATAAAAATAAAATTACTGCTGAGCAATCGAACATCAGATTAGAGAGATTAGCAGCATTCTCTTTAGGATTATTTTTACTTTACAGCATGATTTATTTTCTGCTGGATGAGAGATTGAGAGAAAAAAATTCCTAAAAATCTAGGGACAAGAAATATATGTACTTGGAAGAAAAAAAAAGAAAAAGTGTGAGAAAATAAAAAATACACATAATATCATATTCTCAAAGATTCTAAGGTTCTGAAATCAACCTTTTTAATCAAAATTAAGAATTTAAATTTCAGATTTAAAGGGGGACTCCGACCAAAATTTTTTTGTATTAAAATGTTTCAAAAGTTATCTATTTTCAGAATATTACTGCGAAAAAATTCGAAAAAAATCCGAAACCCCCGAAAAACGCCGTTGAAAATGAAAAAAAATTCAAAAAAGGTGCCGCCGGGGGACGAGGATTCGAATTGCCGCGCAGTGAGAAACCTAGGCCACGGCGCCTGCTAGCATTATTTTCAAATGGCCGACAGTGTTTTTAAACGTTTTTTACCTGTCGGAGATAAAAGCGAAAAAAATCCGGAAAAATTGTCCGGTAAGAAAGTCGCGCCGCTCGCGTGGCCTAGGTTTCTCACTGAAAATCCTCGTCCCTCGGCGACACCTTTTTTTGATTTTTTTTTTTTCCTTTTCAACGGCGTTTTTCGGGGATTTCTGATCTCTTTCGAATTTTTTCGCAGTAATATTCTGAAAATAGATAAATTTTAACACATTTTAATGCAATAAAAAATTTGACCGGAGTCCCCCTTTAATCAAAATTGAGAATTTCGTTTTCAGATTTTTCAACTTCTTTGAACATTCAATTTTTGGAATCGAGAACCTTTCAGAATTTCAAAAAATATTATTTTGAACATCTAGAAATTCCAAATGTTTGAAAATTCAGAATTCTAGCATTCCTTATATGAATTCCTTCAAATTTCTCTGAAACTTCTAAATATTGTAATTTCTGAGAATTCGATGATTCGGGAAATTTTCGAATTTTGGGGATTTTTTTTGAATTTTTGAGCTTTATTCACAATTTCTAAAACTTCTGAAATTCCAATCTAAGTAATGATTTCATTTGGAAGTCCAAATTTGTTACCACGAATAAAAATATTCCAGTTGGGTGAGCAAAAATCTTTCCATTTGAAGCATAGGAGGGAGAAACGGGAGAACAAATAAATAAGTAACACATTTTATATCTAACTGAATTATTTATGGGATTTCTGTTTAGCAGAAAATGGTTAGAAATTGCATAGAATATGTGTTTTAGATTAAAAATGGATTTTCATGTTTAGGTAACTTCTAGATTTTCGAAAAAAAAATTATATTTTCAAAAAACCCAAAAGAGGTTTTGTGAAAATTTTCAAAAAGCTGTTTTGAGAAATCTCACAATCAGAGTAAATTTTCAGAAAAAAATTGATTAGAGAGCTAATTTTAGAAAAATTCAAGAAATCAAAATTCTTTTTCTTTTTTTTGAAATTCTGAAATCTCTGAATCTCAGAATTTTCAGGAAAATCGGAAAAACTGGAAAAACTTTCAACAAGTGGGAATTTTGAAAATCCTAATAGACTACAATTTCCAAATCAATTTCTTCTTTTTTCTCAGTTTTTAAAAAATAAATTGACCGGAAAATTTGCATAGCTTTTTAACAGGAATATCCATATAGGTACCTTGAGAAAAAAAATGTCCTTACAAAAAATCTAAATTTGCATGATAAAAGATTGAAAAAGGGGACGAAGACACCTCACAATAAGCACAACAATGGCCAGACTTTTTGGAAAAGATGGGAAAAAAGGAGAAAATGGAGACGAGATTCCTCTTTAAAATTTGTCGCCCCGAAAGAGCGAGTGAGGAAATTGAATAAAGTTCTTGTTTTGTTGTTGTTTAGAATGAGATTTTTCTTTTCAAGAGCTCTTCAAAAGCCCAAAAAATACTAAAAATCAGAATCTCGAATTCTCAGAATCACAAATTTTCGTGACTTAAAAATTGCAGAACTTGAGAATCTCGCCTTTTACAGCACCTAGCGCACGGCTTGGCAAAATTTTTTAGGATTTTACAAACATGAGCAATACACGGAGCATATGAACAAATATGGGTGCAAACAGGAGACAACGTTATATAGAAAATGAAGCCAGACAATTTTTTTTTCTGATTTTCGAGGAAGATACTTCTTTAATTTAGAGTAGGATTAGTCAATGATGAAAATGCACTGAAGACGTCATGAGGCACTCAAAATAAGCACCTCGTGGAACCTAGATGAATTTTTTCACGCCAGCTCTTTGAGCTAACTTATCTCGGTTACTGTAAGAGATTTCAAAAAGTGGTCAACTGAGAAAATGTCACTGATATCATGGTAAACATTTTATTGGTTGACAACTATTGATATCTTTTATTGAAAACTACATAAATAGGGTCAAAGTTGGCAATTGCCTGTGATAGCCGGTGGGCCGGAGGGCGCAGAGGGAGCGGCGCTCTAAATGACTGTCTATTTTGAGCTCATTTATCTCGGCTCCTATGAGAGATCTCAAAATGTAGTCAACTGATAAAATGTTACTGATAATATGATAAACATTCTTTTAGTTGACAAATTTTTGATATTTTTTACAAGAATTGAGATGCATAAGCTCAAAGTCAAGACACCTTTTTTGGTCTAGGCGACCGCTTAGCTCAGACTTATTCAAAGAAATTTCATAAAATCTCGAAAAAAAAAGGGAAAAACCGGAACAAAACTATTATTATAAAGATTCTTTTTTGGGTTATGAAAAGAAAAAAGCGCTCTATTGTTTTTGAAAAAAAAATCTTGAGATTTTTGTCTTTAGAAAAGTTTGAAGTGGAATAATTTTTGGGAATTTTGGACGGATTTTTTAAAGCATTTCAAATGAAAATCTTTAAAAAAGGTCCCGGAAAAAAATTAGATGGAAAAATCCTAAATTACGGCTAGATCACAGAAAAAACTTCTTGGTTTTTCGATTTTACCGCACAAAATAGATAGAAGTTTCTGGAAAAATACGTTCTACGGATAAAAGGATTTTTTTGAGAACTAAAAAATCGAGAGAATGCTTTAAAAACTCCTGCTAGCTTAATCAATATGAGTCATACAGTTCTTCAAAAAATCGAGAAACGATAGTTCGCAAAAACTAGAAAAAGGCAAACAGTATGAGTAAACATTATCCATTCCAAAAATCTATATTTCTATGTTCCTGTAAATTTCACAAAAAAGTTTTAAAACAAAATTCAAACGGTATACAAGTAACCTGTCCGTGTGAATAAACCCAAATCCATTTTCTCTCACTGTCTGCGTCTCTTCCCTCTCTTTCTTTTCTTCCCATCGGAATCCTCCTTTTGACAGGCGGTCCTCCGGCGGTCAAACAGGTAGCCAATGAGGGAGTGTGGGGAATGAAGAGACGCAGAGAGGATGAGACAGTTGTCTTCTTTTCATTGTAAAGGGAAAGAGAGAGAGAGAGAGAGAGAGAGAGAGAGAGAGAGAGAAAAGGAGGAGTAGTTGCACTTAATGAGAAACGGATGACCTCGATTATTTAATGGGAAGAAAAAAAGAAGGATTTACAAAAACTACCGTTTCAAATTTCATGAAACTAGAATTTTCAGATTCCTTAGATTTTCAGCTTCAAAATGAGTATAAGCAAGCATGGCTCGAGATTTCAGTAATTCAGACTTTTGGAGTTTTAAAAGATAATTCAATTTATATTTTAACATTTTTTTTTTTGAAAATCCAAATTTTTTAAATTCAACAATTCACCAATTCACAAGTTCCAAAATTTCGAAACTTCGAAAAATCTGAAACTTCAGTATCCGGGTTACTGTAGATGGGACTACTATAGACTCCGGGGTTACTGTAATTGATTCGGAGGTACCGGTTATTCTACTTCAGATTATGTAAAATCTGTTTGGGTTACTGTATTATTCTGAATTACTGTACTTTCGTTGAAAAATAACACTTGAAGTTCGGGATTACTGTAGCATTCAAAACTACAGTATCCGGTGCTCAAATATCTCAGGTTACTGTAGAAACAATGTCCAAAAGTTTAAAAAAGCCTAAAAGCCCGAATTTTCAGAAATTCGAAAATTCCAAAGATCCAAGAATCCAAAAAAAAAGGAAAAATCTGAAAATTATTATAAATTCCGAGAAATTCAAAAAATCTGATAACTCCAGAAAACAAAAAAAAACTAAAAATTCAAAAAATCATTTAATTTCACAGTAGTAGGCATTGATCATTTCTTTCAAGGGACAAGTAGGATGGAGAAAAATCGACAAAAAAGATCTTTTTCTTCCAGAAGAATCCTACATTGCAATCGACGACGCAGTAGACGTTCCAGTTTTTGAAGAGTCTGAAATTTTGAATTTTTTTGTGAACTTTCTGAAATTTTCAAAATTTCCAGGTAGATCAAAAGTAGATCACAATTTTCAAGAATTCGAAATTTCACATTCTTTTCAGAAATCGCAAAAATGTAAATTTTGGGATAATGGCCTAGAAATTCAAGTTTAGAGAATTCTAGGCCACCAAAGTCTGATAATGCTTTTGAGACAAAAAACTGAAATTTTCAAGTTGGTCGCCTAGAAAGCTTATTTCTGGGTTTTCTAAGCCACCAATTCAGAATTCTTAGAAATCCAGATTTCAAGTATTAGACCATCAGACAGATTTGTGTATTGTTGGCCTAGAATCCCAATTTCAAGTATTCTAGGCCATCAGCCAGTTTTGTGTATTGGTGACCTAGAAATTCAAATTTCAAGAATTCTAGACCATCAGAAAGTTATGGGTCGGTGGCCTAGAAACACAAATCAGCCGGCCTAGTTTTCCAAAAACTCACCACTCTTCTTGCTCTTCTTCCCCTTCTTCTCCTTTTTCCCGCCCTTTTTGTCCTTCTTCACTTTGACTTTTCGCACTTTTGGAATGTGTTTAGCACGTGCTTTCACCAGACATCTCACCAGACAAACATGAAGAATCAGACACAAAATCCCAAAAATGACACCGGCAATCAATCCACAAACCATTGCCATTGGAATCGACTCGCCGACAATTGTGCCCGTGTTTTGATAGTCGCCCGCTGACGGCGCCTCGTTGTCAGAAGATGTATTCGTCGAATTCGACATCTGAAAATAAGTAAGTCTTGTTTATACTCATTTTGAAGCTCTAATTACGATAATTTCAAAAATATAAATACTGTTTTAATCGAGTAAAAATAAACAGAGTTATGGTCAATTCTAGATTTTAAGTTTTCATGACCAATTTTTAGGACCAAGCATTTTTTGAAACTTGAGAGATCTAGACATATTTATACTTCTTTTGAAGCTCTAAATGAGCACATTTCAGAATTATTAAAACCATTTTGATTGGACCATTATGAACTGAGTTATGATCGATTCAAGCTTTCAGGACCCATTTTTAGCATCTATTTGGTTTTCAACATAGGCAAATTTATATTCATTTTAAAGGTGGGGGGACATGAAAAAAATAATGTTCTCGGAATTTCGTTCAAAGATGCCTCTCGAGGAGTTGAACTTGTGAGGGCGATGATTGAGGGTGCGGCGCCGCTACCGACTGAGCCACGCGGGCAAAGAGAAAGCGAACGCCCGATTGCATACATAAAGGCGAGGACGACAGCTGTACGCAGAGTGACATTAAGCGTTGTACACCGTGACGGTAGAATGCATACTCTAGCTACAAAAAAACTACGAAAAATCTCCTGTCCCCCCCCCCCCCACCTTTAAAGCTATTTTGCTTCTTAATCCAAAAATTTTAAACTCAAAATATTAGGTTCAGATATAACTGAGCATCCCGATAACCGTACCTTTTCAGTTCTCGTGTTCAACTATCCACAACGACAATACCAATCAATAATGGATTTTTTGAGGGAGGAGTTGGAAACTTTTTTTGAAGGAAAAATCCACGAGCGCAAGTTTTAAGGACAAGTGTCATAGTTTTTTTTTCGAAAGACTACAAACTACAAAATCAGAGTTTGGGTAACTGTAGTCTTTGGTAGTCTGGGTAGATTCATCAGAAAGGATTACTGTAGTTCATTTATTCAAATAAAACAATTAGTTATTTCGCTTTTTTAGAGGTTTTCTGACTTTTGGTAGATTCCAAGAATTCATGGACCCTTCCCATAATCGTCTCAATCACTGGAGCCAATCGTTGAATTTCACGATCCGTGTGGCGCTGAAAAATTTAGGTTCTTGTCTGGAAAAGGCCTGAAAATAGGCCTATAAGCCTATTGTCCTTACCAGTTCCTTAAAAATCAGTGGCCGCCGATTTGGAATCATTTGAGTCGCTATGAAAATCGATAAATATGTCAATGAGCAATAGAAGAGCAAACGGAGCATTGTCGGAAATTCGTATTCATCACCTTTCGCCACATTCAATTTCATTCGGAGAGCTTCCACTGAAAATGTAGTTTGTAGTTTGTGGTTTCTAATTTTTATAGTTTGTAGTCATTGGTGCTAGTATTAAGCTAGTTGTAGTTGTATAAAAATGTCTAGGGTTCCTGTAGCCTTTGGGTTACGGTATCTAGGGTTCATGCAATTCAGTTTTGTAGTTTGTAGTTTTTGTAGTCTTTGTAGCTTACTTGGTGATTTGACTTGTTCGATTTTTTCTCGCCCCAAAATCATCAATCGCCCGTTGATTTTCTTGTCATGGACACAATATGTGTTCAGGCCGGAATTCTGAAATATATGGTGAAAATGGTCAACGCGGTTGAAGCGGTAAGAGCGGCCTGAAAGGTCAAACTGGTCGAAGCGGTCTAAATGGTATAAATGGTCGGAGCGGTCTAAATGGTGGAAGCGGCCGAAGCGGTCAAAGCGGCCAAAGCGGCCGATATGGTCAACACGTTCTAAAAATTATCTAAATGGTCTAAATGGTCGAAGCAGTCTAAATGGCCTAAATGGTTAAAGCAGTCTAAATACTCGGAGCGGTCGAGATGGTCGAGACGGTCGAGACAGCCAAAGCGGTCAAAGCGTTAGGAGCGGTCTGAATGGCCTAAATGGTCGGAGGGGTTTAAATGGTCGGAGCGGTCAAAGCGGTCGGGCAGTCGGAGCGGTCTAAATGGTCTAAACGATCGGAGTGGTCGGAGCGGTCTAAATGGTCTAAACGGTCAAAGTGGTCGAAGCGGTCAAAGCGGCCGTAGCGGTCGGAGCGGTCGAAATGGCCCAAACGTACCTCACTAAAAAGCGAGTAATAATATCGATAATGATTATCGTCAAACGCATATTTCGTCACCAATCCAAACTCATCGGCATGCTCAAAATCTACGAAAGCGTAGGCTCCATCTGGCTGAAACTTCAGCAATTGTTGGAAAAAAAAATAATTTAAAAAAAAATTTTTTTGAAGTTTTATTCTGACTTTTAGATTGACTGGTCCTAAGAACCTCGAAAATCCTCAAAAACAATAGTTTTAAATCCCAAAACTTACAGTTATAAGCTGAAAAACTTTGAAAAACATGTTCTGATCCAGAAAATACATTTGCAAATTGATTCGATAGATCCATTGGCCTCTGTGATGAATCAGAATATAATCGATTCCCTGGCTGTCAGAATAGGAGAAAAACTTGTCGAAACTTAAGAAATTCGGCAGGACAAATCGCTTTTCTCTGGAAAAAAAAATACCTTAAAATTTGAATTTCGCGCCAGCTCTTACCTGTTGTCTTGCTCATTCTTACTGTAGCTGCCTACAGTAACCAACTGGTCATGAATTGAGACGCAAATCGAGTTGTTCTGAAAAACTCCAAAAATTAAATTTGTTAGAAAATTTCAAAAAACTAAAATTTCTGAAAATCAAAAATTTCCAAAAATTCTAAATTTTCAAGAATTCTAAATTTCCTAAATTTCTAAATTTCTGAAAACCTCACATTTCTAACATTATAATGGCATGTATAGGGCTCTGTCAAGTTCTTGGACACCATTTCTGGAGTTTTCAAATTCCGAAATCTCAAAGATCGATCCTCGTGGTCCGTCAGGCTTTGGTACGTTTTGTAGGTGATTCTGAAAATGTTTTGGACCTTAAACAAAAAGGAAAAAAGAAAAAAAAGAAATTGCCCTGAACCAGGATCGAACTGGTGACCTTTAGATCTTCAGTCTAACGCTCTCCCAACTGAGCTATCAAGGCACACAAAAGAGGGGAACGGGAGGACGTGCAAGAGAGGGCGCAGTGGTCGCAGGGGGCCGAGGGTAGAAATTTAGGAAACTTTTTTTCGAAAATTTTGAAAAACCATTTCGACCGCTTCGACCGTTTCGACCGTTTAGACCGCCACTTGGGCCGTCTGGACGAACTCACTGATAATGCCTAAAAGCCTTATCGGGGACCATAAAATGGAATTTCTGAAGAGATTCATCCCAAGCGACAGTGACGTTGTTGGTGAACAACTGGAATTGTAGTATTTGTAGTCTCTAGGATTACTGTACCTGCTCTAATGGCGTATTAAAGTTCTGTGGTCCGGCTTTTGTCGTAGTTCCTAGTGTAGGCCAAACTATTGGGATTGTTGTAGAATTCAAAACTACAGTATCCGATGTCGTGGAATTCCACAAGTCTTGGGTTACTGTAGATGGGATTACTGTAGACTCCTGGGTTACTGTAGTCGACTCGGAGGTGCTGGTTACTGTTGATCCTACTGTAGATCCTACAGTAGAGTCCGGTGGGGTTACTGTAGCATTATGGGTTACTGTAGTTCCTACTGTAGAAGGCGTCACAGGTTCAGAAGTTTTTTGGGTTACTGTAGTTTCGTGGAAAAATAGAAACCGGAAATTCTCGCCAGGACCGGAAATAAGCATTTTCGAGTCATGGTTCCGGACGCCGATGACGTGGAATAGCTGGAAAAAAGATTACTGTAGTTTCTAGGGTTACTGTAGCCCCGCCCCGAATTGCTGCCCTTTCAAAATTTGCGTATTACTGTAGTGGGATTACTGTACCTCGACTTCTTTCCTCAATTTATCATCGATAAAACAGTGAATATCCGAGAATGGCGGTTGTGGAGGGGGCGTGGCCAAAGTGGGCGGAGTCTGGGGTGACGTGGATTCAGAAGACGTCGGACTTCCAGAAGGCGTCGTCGTCGTTGAAAATTCAGAAGACGCGGAATTGCCTGTATAGTTCTGAAAGACTACAAAGACTACAAACTACAAATACTGCAAGCTACAAATTCGAAAATTCGGAAAATTCGAAAACTCAAAAATTCAAACAACGAACTACAAACTACAAACTACAAACCATAGACTACAAAGACTACAAACTACGCTACCATTGCTTCAGAATTGCACACGAAAAACACAAATATCACAGCAGCTAACATCTTTGGCGCCAAACTTGAATTTTTAAAAAAATTTTGAAAATTTTTGAATTCCCTCCACGTTGATATCTATGTGATGACGTGTCTTTGGAGTATCAAATTGAGTGTCAAAATGACAGAAAAAGGGCGGGAAATTCAAATTTTGGATCAAATTTCAGTTATTTCGAACGGGAAATGTCTGAAAATCAAGAATCAGAAAAATCGAAAGTGAGCAATGGATCGAGTAGTGGAGGTGATGAGTTGGAAGGAGCCACTGGCACCGCCGTTCGAATCAAGCAGAAGAGATCCAAGAAAAGAAATCGAAAGGTAGTTTGTAGTTTGTAGTCATTGTAGTCTTTGTAGCTTGGGTTACTCTAGAACATAATGGACGCTTTTAAGATTTACTGTAACTTGGCTACTGTCGGAGTACTGTACCTCAAGGGATTACTGTAGTTTGTAATTTGTCATCCTAAGCGACGTTGTTCTTAAAGAAATAAAGCTAAAATCCTAGAATTGTAGTTAGTAGTCTTTGTGGACTTGGGTTACTGTAGTCCAGGATGGGATACTGTACTTTCAAGGGTTACTGTAGCTTTACCACTGTCGGATTACTGTATTTCTAGCGGATTGATGAACCTACTCTCTAAGATGGAATACCGTACTTTTTGTGGTTACTGTGGTTTCTGGTATTACTGTTGCCTTTGTAGTTTTGGGTTACTATATTCTAGGATGCGATAATGTACCTTCAAGGGATACTGTAGCTTGGCTACTGTCCGAGTACTCTACTTTGAGCAGGTAATTTTGTAGTTTGGTGTACTGTACCAGTAGTGTACTGCACTTTCGAGGATTACGGTTGGATTACCGTACTTTTTGGGGTTACTGTAGTTTCTACGATTACTGTAGAATAGGAAGGGTTACTGTAGAATTCACAGCTACAGTATCCGGTGACGTGCGATTCCAAATATCTTGGGTTACTGTAGATGATTCAGAGGTGCTGGTTACTGTAGATCTTACTGTAGAGCCAGGTGGGGTTACTGTAGCATTCTGGATTACTGTAGATGGCGTCGTTGCGAATTCAGAAAATCCAAAATTCCAAAAATTTGAAAATCCCAAGATTTTTAAAAAATTCTCAAGTTCTAAAATCCCAAACATTTGTAAAAATTCTCAAATTCTAAAGTAGTTTCATAGGCCGGAAAGCTCTGAAGAACCCTAGAATGGCCTGAATCCTGAAAAAGCCCAAGACACTGAAAAATAGGCGTAAAAAGCCTGAAAATAGCCTAATAGCCCAAAAAGCCCCGAAATTTCCAATTTTCAGTCCTCAAAATCCGGCTCAAAATCTCGAAAAGACGACGTTCCAAAGTGCGAAACCGTGGAAAAAGGGTCAACGAAATCGGCCAACAATGAAACGGCTCAATCCGAATGGCTCGATGAAATTGTTCCAGAAGCTTCTGGAAATAAATCGAAAAAATCCAATTTTTTCGAATTTTTCGATTCTTATAAATTTCCGATTCTCTTCACGTCTTCAGCGATTCTGGCCGCTGGAATTCTCGTGTATTTCGCTGTGAAGAAGACGTCGCCAAAAGTGGGCGGAGCCAAGTGTCCGATGAAAATTTAAGAACTTTTTTTATTGATTTTTGTGTGTGTATGGTGCAATGAAGAGATACTTTTTGAATTAATTTTTTTGGAGAAAAAAATTTTTAAATAATTAAATTTCGCCAATTTTTTTCTTGATTTTTCTGGAGAGCATGGAGAGATGGAGTCTAAAAAATTTTTTATTTTTTAAGAAAAAAAGCAAAACTTACACTTCCTGTGCCCCCATTTGTCTGAAAATTTCCAGCAAAATTTTGTCTGGAAGATCTAGAATTCTGAATTTTCGCGTCACAACTTCCCGATGATTTTTCCGATCGATTGGAGGTGGAGTGCGGACGGAGATCACATTGTTGAGTGGTGCTGGATTGTAGGCGGAGCCAATGGAGACGTTGTCAGAAAAATCCTGCTGAGAAGAGACACAGGCGCCCTGGGAATTTGGATTGGAACTTTTCTTTTTTTTTTGGGATAATATAAAATCCTACCATTATATAAATGTAAAGACAAATAAATGTTCTAATGTTTCCGACTCGAGAAGGGCTATTGATTTTTGGGTCAATGGGAGTACAGGAGACGCAGTGTTTAGCAGTGCTAGCACCCTATTCTATCTAAAGAACACCTGTTTTTTGGGATGAAGGAATGGGGTCAAGGCTATTAGATCAAAAAACAGAATTTTGAAATATAGGGATTTCATTTTGCTGATCATTCACATCAAAAAACATAACAAGAACGAATTAGAATTTATAAATTATCTATTTTAGATCTTGTTGAAGGCGACGATGTCGACGGATTGGACGTGATCCTCGAAGTCTCCGGTGATTCTCTCGATGAGGTCGTCGACGGAGACCTTAAGATCCTCGATTACGGTGATGATTTGGAGCTTCTTGATTCCTAGAATAGAAAATTGTAGAAATTGGACTAGGGAAAATTCTACTCACCGTATCCGATTGGGATAAGCTTGGCTCCTCCCCAGACGAGTCCGTCCATCTCAATTCCACGGACAAGCTTCTCCATCTCTCCGAGATCGGTCTCATCATCCCATGGCTTCACGTCAAGAATGACGGAAGACTTGGCGATTGGTCCAGCCTTCTTGGCCTTCTTCTCGGCGTAGGCGGCGAGGCGCTCCTCGACGATCTTCTTTTTCTCCTCGCTCTCCTCCTCGTCTTCGGATCCGAAGAGATCGAAGTCGTCGTCTCCGGCAGCCTCGGCGGCTGGAGCAGCGGATCCTCCGGCTGAGGACCAGGTCTTGCGCTCAGCATCGGTGTAGGAGGCGACGTTGGCGTACCAGCGAGTAACATTTGGGTAGGTGGAGGCGTTTGGAGCAGATCCGAGGGCAGCGAAGAGTTGGGCGTCTTCTCCGGACAAGACGAAGCTGAAAAATTATATTTTAATTTTCAAATGTTGATTTTTCGAATTTTTAGACTTTGATAACAAACAAATCAAGAGAATTACGGTTTTTTCAACGATTTCTGCTCAAAAATACGATAAAAATCACTCTAGAACTTTTAAAAAATTCTGAAAATCGCTCAAAACTCATTTTTTCAGTATTCGGCCTAAAAAATCTCATTTAAACTCAAATTTTCGACATACCCAGTGGCAAAAGCCTGCTCGGCGAGGGTGGTGTTGAAAGCAGCAAGTCCAGCTGGGCTCTTAACGTCGGCAACCATCTTTTCGGGAGTGAAACGCGAAGGAATGACGCTTCAATCGTCCTACAAATCAGTGAAAAACGAAATCGCTTTGAGACCAAAAAGCTGCGAAACTCGGCGCGCCTTTAAAAAGAGCCGCCGGCGCCAAGCCTTTGACTGACGCATCAATGGGAAGGCGGCGCCCGAGTTTCGCGCCAACGCTCAACTTTCTCCTCCCATTTATTTTCTGTCTTCCTGCTGACCAATTCTTATCATTTCACGGTCGCATCGGTAAAAGAATCATTTGTTTTTGTTCCGAAAATTGTTTACGGCTAGTTTTGCAGCGGAAAAATTGTAAAGTAATGAGAATTTAGGCCTAAAAATAGTCCATTTGAGATCTGTGCTTATTTGGTTTAATTTCTCAGGTTTTTCAAAAACTCTGCGTTTAAAAGTATATGTATTTTGAGCATCTTATCGTTCTTCTCCGTTTTTATTCAAAATTTCCTTCCAAAATCCTTTTTTTCAGGAGAAACCATGAATTCTCTTCTCCGCCTGAGCCAGTTGGCTGGGCCAGCTCACATGCGCGCAATTCACTCGTCTTCTTCAGTTTGGGTAGGCTAATTTTCAAATTTTAAGCTTAAAAATAAAACTAAAAATTGGTTTTTTCAGAGCAAAGTGCCACTCAGTAAATTCGAGCCGAACGCATATCTTCCATACGAGCGTCTGTCGCAAAATGTGAAGATTGTTAAAGACAGGTAGGGAGAAGAGATCGACAAGTTCAAAAAGTTTCAAGGGCGAAGCATTTTTTTCTGTTTCTTATCAAATGAAATTCTAGTGATCACGTGCGGTTAGGTGAAGATCTTCACTGAAGAACTGAATGTGACAAGTAGAAATTCAGGAATTAGTTCAAAAATAGCTCAAAATTCGTTAAAATTGAGTGAAAATCTGAAAAAAAGCAAGATTTTCGAGTTTTTCTTCTCAAATTCATTCTAGACCATGTTGAGAATTTTTCCGAAGTTATTTTTGCTATAATCTTCAATTCCGGGCTATTTCCAGCTCGAATTTCGCTTTTAAGCAAGTTTTTTTCGACATTTCCCTGACTTTCAACCTAAACCTTCTCTCTCATAACTTTTTCGCCCAGATCACAAGCCTTTCGACCCCAACCAGAGACAAACAGAGTTCTTGTTGTAATAAGAGGAAGAGCGTCATTGAGAAAAGCTAGAGAATTTTGTCTTCTCTCTCGCTCTCGTCCTATCTCTGTTCTCTGGTCAATGTAAACACGTTGATGAGAAGTGAGAGAGTAGGTGTGATGAGAATATGGTAGTCTTTATTGGCCCCCAAACTGCCGTTTTGGGCATCAATGATGCAAAAAACATGAGAATAATGACATCAATCATTGTAAAAGACGTTCAAAAAATCAAAGTTTTGCGATATATGAGTCTCCAGACCCCACCACGCGCCTCAGGTCTCCAGACTGATCGCACTTTGTGTGTCATGTTTGCTGTTGAGGGAATTGAGTACTTTGAACTGATAGCAGGCAACAAGGAAATTTGTGAACAGTGTACTTTGATAGTTGAGGGAGAAGAGGGGATACAGTTTCAATTTGGAATTTTCTAAAATTGGGATTCTTTTCAGACTGAAGCGTCCATTGACTCTTTCCGAAAAAATTCTCTATGGACATTTGGACCAGCCAAAGACCCAAGACATTGAGAGAGGAGTCTCCTATCTTCGCCTCCGCCCTGATCGTGTTGCTATGCAAGATGCCACCGCTCAGATGGCAATGCTCCAATTCATCAGCTCCGGACTGCCAAAGACCGCCGTCCCATCCACCATTCACTGCGATCACTTGATCGAGGCTCAGAAGGGAGGAGTTCCAGATTTGACTCGTGCTAAGGTGCGTTTTAATCTTAAAAATACGTCCATTTTTATGATTTATTTTTCAGGAGCTCAACAAAGAGGTCTTCAACTTCTTGGCCACCGCCGGAAGCAAATACGGAGTCGGATTCTGGAAGCCAGGATCTGGAATTATTCATCAAATCATTCTCGAGAATTACGCTTTCCCAGGACTCTTGCTCATCGGAACTGACTCGCACACACCAAATGGAGGAGGTCTCGGAGGACTTTGCATCGGAGTCGGAGGAGCTGACGCTGTCGATGTGATGGCTGACATTCCGTGGGAGCTCAAGTGCCCAAAGGTCATCGGAATCAAGCTCACCGGAAAACTCAACGGATGGACTTCAGCTAAGGACGTTATTCTGAAGGTTGCTGATATTCTTACCGTCAAGGGAGGAACTGGAGCTATTGTCGAGTATTACGGACCAGGAGTTGACTCTATTTCTGCCACTGGAATGGGAACTATCTGCAACATGGGAGCTGAAATCGGAGCCACCACATCTGTCTTCCCATACAACGAGAGCATGTACAAGTATCTTGAGGCTACTGGACGTAAGGCCATCGCCGATGAAGCCCGCAAGTACAAGGATCTCCTCACTGCTGATGACGGAGCCCACTACGACCAGATCATTGAAATCAACCTCGACACCCTTACCCCACACGTCAACGGACCATTCACCCCAGATCTTGCTTCTCCAATCGACAAACTTGGAGAGAATGCCAAGAAGAACGACTGGCCATTGGATGTTAAGGTTTCCCTCATCGGATCCTGCACCAACTCCTCTTACGAAGACATGACCCGTGCTGCTTCCATCGCCAAGCAAGCTCTCGACAAGGGACTCAAGGCCAAGACAATCTTCACCATCACTCCAGGATCCGAGCAAGTTCGTGCCACCATCGAGCGTGACGGACTTTCTAAGATTTTCTCTGATTTCGGAGGAATGGTTCTTGCCAACGCTTGCGGACCATGCATCGGACAATGGGATCGTAAGGATGTGAAGAAGGGAGAGAAGAACACCATTGTCACATCGTACAACCGTAACTTCACCGGAAGAAACGACGCCAACCCAGCCACTCATGGATTCGTCACTTCTCCAGATATCACCACAGCTATGGCCATCTCGGGACGTTTGGACTTCAACCCATTGACCGATGAGCTTACCGCTGCTGATGGTGGGTTTTTCGGGATGAAATTCCAGCATTTGGGCATTTTTTAATTACAGAATGGATTCCGACAATTTTAATTTAGTTTTGCCATCTCAATCTTCTATTTAATAATTTCAGGAAGCAAATTCAAGCTCCAGCCACCAACCGGACTTGACCTGCCACCAAAGGGATACGATCCAGGAGAGGACACCTTCCAAGCTCCAGCTGGATCGGGATCCGTCGACGTCTCTCCATCTTCTGATCGTCTTCAACTCCTCGAACCATTCGACAAATGGGACGGAAAGGATTTGACTGACATGAAGATCTTGATCAAGGTCAAAGGAAAGTGCACCACCGACCACATCTCTGCAGCTGGACCATGGCTCAAGTACCGTGGACACTTGGACAACATCTCCAACAACTTGTTCCTCACCGCAGTCAATGCTGAGAATGGAGAGATGAACAAGGTCAAGAACCAAGTTACCGGAGAGTATGGAGCCGTTCCAGCTACCGCTCGCAAGTACAAGGCTGACGGAGTTAGATGGGTTGCTGTCGGAGACGAGAACTACGGAGAGGGATCTTCTCGCGAACATGCCGCTCTTGAGCCACGTCATTTGGGAGGAAGAGCTATCATTGTCAAGTCGTTCGCCCGTATTCATGGTAAGAAGTTAAAATAAAAAGTGTTCAGAAATTCTGAGCTTCAGAATAAAATTATATAAGTTTCTGATGAACAGAAATCTCAAAACTCCAAAGCCAAATTCTAACGTTCGATATTTTCCAGAGACCAACTTGAAGAAGCAAGGAATGCTCCCACTTACTTTCGCCAACCCAGCCGACTACGACAAAATCGACCCATCTGACGAAGTCTCGATCGTCGGACTCAACTCATTCGCCCCAGGAAAGCCACTGACCGGAGTATTCAAGAAACAGAATGGATCAAAGGTCGAGGTGACCTTGAACCACACATTCAACGAGCAACAAATCGAATGGTTCAAGGCCGGATCCGCCCTCAACAGAATGAAAGAAGTGTTCGCGAAGAGCAAATAAATAATTCTGAATATTTAGTAGAAAATGGTCCATCATTTTGTACTTATTGTAATGTATTGTATGCTGGATTTGAGTATTTTAGATTGGGAATTTTAAGGAGTAACATTTTAAGTAGGGAGATATGAGATTTCTAAAGTACTCGAATCCATTTTTTTCACTGATTTCCAAGTAGATTTCACAACCTCCATGAGATTGTTTCGTATATGTATGAGTAGAGTTTTCTTTTTCTTGTTTTGTTTTTTAATGGTTTTCTTATTGCTTCTCCATGAAATGACTTAATTTTTAATAGCGATTTTACATTTATAGGGACTTAATATTCGAATTTTTATTGTAAAAATAGTTCAATGATCATTTACGAAGACGTGCGAAGATGGTCAGTGCCACGGTGACGATTCCAACGCCGAGGAGAGTCTTCAAAAGGAACTGGAAGCATGTGAAGACGTCACGGGAGGATTCAGAACACCTACCGAGTTTTCGCTGGTGAAGGCGCAGATTTTCGAAGCCAAAGTCTCTTCGGTGGTCTCCATGGATACCAATTTGGTCCCTGGAGCAGCCTTCTCAGAAGATGGACTGTTCGAAGCGGACGGAGCATCACCATCAGCCTTCAGAAGATCATTCAACCACGCATCCTGCGATTCCTCCTCTCCATCGCCCTGCACGTCGACATCCGAGACGTCACTGACGACGACGTCACCGGCACGATCCTTGATCTTCATTTGACGGAGCTTTTTGAGACGACGCTGCTTGGCGACCGCCTTTTTGTAGTCGTCAGTTTTACCGTCGTTTTTCGACGGGGAGCTGCTCTTTTTCGGCGTTTCGGACATTTTTGGATTCAGCTGGAAATTTTGGAATTTTGCTGAAAATTCAAATTTTTGGAAAAAATCTTACTTTCTCAAGTTAGACTCCTTGTTCGAAGTATCAAGAAATTAGAAAACTTCAGAAAGTGTTGGCTCGGCGCGAAATTCAAATTTTGGATTTTCGTTGACCCGGAAACGTGGAATTTCATGTTTTCGGGATTTCTAGGTCGTCGAATGTTGGGTTTCTAGGCCGCCGAACTTTGGCTTTCTAGACCAACAATTTGTAATTCTAGACCACCATTTTTAATTTTATAGTCCACCAAATTTTGGATTTCTAGGCCACCATTTCGAATTTCTAGACCACCAATTTGGAATTCCAGGCCACCAAATGCTGTATTTCTAGGCCACCAACTTGAAATTCTAGGCCATTTCTCATTTTCTAGGCCAACAATATTTGGGTTTCTATGCCATCTCACTGTAGAGCCTTTTTAGTTGTTCTAGGACACCAATTTGGAATTCCAGGCCACCAAATTTTGGATTTCTAGGCCAACAATTTGTAATTGTAGGTCACCATTTCTATTTTCTAGGCCATGTAACTTTTAGGTCATTTTTTGGATTTTCAGGCCACCAATTTGGAGTTCTAGGTCACCAAATGTTGACTTTCTAGGCCATCTCACTGTTTGGCCTCTTTTCGGTTTCTAGGCCACTAGTCCTATTTTCTAGGCCATCTCTATTTTAGGCCTTTTTCAGATTTCTAGGCCACCAAATTTTGATTTTTTTTTAATTTTTTAAATTTTACGTTTCCAATCCCCAAGCTTTCGAACCAAATGATCATTTAAACACTACTCTTTGTGTTTTATCTGTCCGTTTTTCTCTAATTTCTATGCGTCTCTCATTCTCACACACTCTCTCATTTTCAAGTTGTAAAGTGGCTGTTACCTCTCACTCAGCGGGACTAAATAGTCTTGATTTTTTTTTGTTTTTTTTTTTAATTTCCGAAATTTGAAAAACAAAAAATATTGATGAGGTCTCCTCGGCCTCGTGCCGACCAGAGAACGCAATGGTTTATGTGCGCCCCCTTCTCCTCTGGTTCTCGTGTGCCTTGATAGCTCAGTTGGGAGAGCGTTAGACTGAAGATCTAAAGGTCACCAGTTCGATCCTGGTTCAGGGCAATTCCTTTTTTTTTGTAGTGATGCTTGTAATGAATCGCAATTGTTTATTCTGTGTAATTTCGTTGAATTTTCAGTTTTAGGAGTTTTTCTAGCAGTTTTTAAAGGCAAAAATTGAAAACTTTCGATAGTTTTTGGAATTCAAAAAAATAATACTGAAAATATTTTTTCAAAAAACTCTGAAAACCTAAAAACTGCCAACTTTGCCAACTTTTTTATGCCTTCTACACCTAAAAAACCCAAAATTTTCAAACAGAAAGCGAGGGGTAAACAAGTAACCTTGAGGTTCCTGCGTCTCTTCCCTCTCGTCCTCTTTCTCTAGCACTCTCTCCTTTTCTAATACTCTCTCTTCGGTAGTTGGAAATAAAAAAGACGTCCCCACCCCGTTTGTGTTGGTTGTTTGCCGCTGATTTTTCTTTGTCGTCTCTTTTCTTTTCAAAAAAAAAAGAAGAGAAAATTTTGTTTTCTTTCTTTCTCTCTTTTTCTTTTATTTTTATTTGATTTTTTAATTCAATTTTTGAAGAGTTTCGGGTTTCAAGTGGCGAAACTGTCAATTCTAGGCAATTTGGATGAAAACCTCTAAATTATGATTTGGCGGGAATTTTGAATCTTTCTAGGTTTTCTGAAATTTTGGCATTTTTAAAATTTTTGAATTTCTACAATTTCAGATTTTCTGAATATTCTGAAAACTGAAACTTTGTGATCATTGAAATTTCTATTTTTTTTTCTCTGCTTCTCCCTCTCTCTTGCTCTCTTTCTTATCCATTTTATATGTTATCCACATGTTTTATAGGCAGAGCAATGGAGCCCAAAGGGCTCCATTTGACAAGAATTGTTTGTGACAGGGCAAGTAGGCAATCATCCTAAAAAAAATATATAAAACAACGATATTTTTTTATCTAACGATATTTTTTCTAGTAAGTGTTCAAAAATCGCTAGATTTCTGGATTGTCAACTTTGAGCTTAAAGGGGGACTCCGACCAAAAATTTTTATTGCATTAAAATGTGTTAAAAGTTATCTATTTTCCGAATATTATTGCGAAAAAATTCAAAAAAAATCCGAAATCTCCGAAAAAAGGCGTTGAAAAGGAAGAAAATTCAAAAAAAGGTGCCGCCGGGGGACGAGGATTTTCAGTGAGAAACCTAGGCCACGGCAGCGGGCGCCTTTCCTACGTGGCAAATTTTCCGGAT